CTGTCTGGTTGACACTGTCCTGCCAATCAAAGGGGTGGGCAGTAGGAGCAAAAGACATTGGTTGCTTCCAAGGATGAGGATGCTGTTCCTCCTTTTGAAGATATTCCCTAAACACACAGGGCCTAAGTATGGCTGGCTAGGGAATGCTGGGAGTTGTAGGACTTTTCTGCTCTAAACAAACACAGGATTCTTCCCTAAGCAATATGCATTTAAAAATAAACATCACAACCATCCAATGTGATGACTCTGGAAGAAGGGGAATTAAGATGCTGGTCAAGTGGATTTGGTTCCTTTTGCCTGGCTTCGAGGATTCTCCACTTGGCCTGGTTCTGGCCCTGCAGATGTCCCAGAAGTGACAGAAACCTGGATCCAAGCACAGACATGGGAAGATCATCAATGCCTTTGCACAAGTCCCAACTACATCTTGTTGAGGTCAAGCAATGACCCAGCCTGGCCTAGGAAGCTTCTATAGGTTTTTCAGGCAAGGGGAAATCAACAGGAAACCTGGGTGAATGAAGTCATCTGCAGTGAGTGGGCCAGTGTCTCACTCATCAGAGGAAGAGGGGCAGGGATAAGTGGGGGCTGAACCTTCTGAAGATCCTTCATGGTTCCCTGGTGAAGTTTCTCACACTGAGCATGAGAGTCAACCTTGGAAGAGACAGAAGAGTTTTCAGGAGGGGAAGGGCAGCAGAAGTGGGACCCAATCCTTGATGCAGTGAGAAGGGGTTAGTAGAGACAAGCTGCTGGTTGGAGGGGATCCATTGCACTCACCATCTTGCTGTCCCTGTTCAAGAACCCCCTGGGGGTAGAGGCAGCAGCTTTACTGAAAGGGAGGGGCCATGGGGAAGCTTCCAGCTTGGATTCAGCTATTTACATGAGCAGAGGCTTCTCTGTCCAGCTTTAGTAAGAAAGCTATTTAAACTGTTCTGTTGGCTATGAAGTTTCCATAAAAGAACTGCCTTTCAAAGGATTGTCTTCTGTTTTGGGGGTGCTCAAAGGAGGAAGGGAAAGGACTGGTTCATGACATCACCCTGGAGTGGCAGCAGCAACCCCATTCTCTGACAAATGCACATTTGTTTACACATTTGTAGTTTTCTCCACATGTGCTCACACCATTTACACAAGCCTGCGGATGGATAGTGTCATTATATGGTTTTGTCACTAGATAGCACTGGACCTTGTAATATCCAGGTGGAGCCAGGTGTCTGTTCTATTGGATGGAGCTTAGATTCCTTCCTGGCGTGTCCTCTAAGACTTCCATTGCATACACTTTGGCTGACCACAGACAAAGTGCAACTAGCCAGCGAATGTACATACAGCAAGGGAAGCCTTCCTAGGCACAACTTCACGGTCCCTCTTTACACATTATGAAAGATGCTATTGATTTCTTCAGAACTGGGAGTATAGTATTAAATCCCTGTTTTATGGGTTTTTGCAATTATTTAGCAAATTATTTGATTTAGCAATCAAACGGTGAAAACAAAGTTTACACTCAGTTCTGTAGATTTCAGCACACACACACTTCAAAGAGCATCCTACTGAAGGCACCTATTGAAGGTGTGTCCCATGTGGCATACGTATTAATAGGTGCTAGACCTGGGGCTCAAGCAATCGTTATCCCCAGTTTGAAACAGGACCCCATACTTGCTGGAAGCAGCTCAAAGCTCAGCACATTGTGAATGTTGAAATGCAAAGCAGCTTCTCCGGCACGTTTTGCCTGCTGTACCAAATCTGGATGTAATGGGCTGTCTGGCAAAGCTTGTATCTGGATTACAGCCTGTGTTATTATAAGCAGTATTATTTCAGGCTCTCAGCATGTCTAAGTGTATGGGTAAATGCAAGCCTCGCTGGTCTCATAATCATTTTTGAGCTCTGTGGCAGCATTTTTTAAAAGTATAATTTATGCAGAATCCTCACATAGGCAAGCATAAGCCAGTTTTCCCTCAAATTTAAGACTGTTTTGTAATCTGCAGCATTTAAGGCCCGAAGAGCTTGTCATGGTAAATGTCAGCATTTGTCACCCTTATTTCTGCCACCAGCCATAGGGCGAGCAGAACTAGTTTAATTAAAAAGTTTATCTGTAGACGTATTTCACTGTTTATGTGTGAAAAATAGTGTCACTTGCTCTGTGGATTTTGCAGAGCCACTGCCTCTGAACAAAAGCATTTCCTTTGGAAGTTGGCAGAGTTTTTGTGAAAATGCACACAGAGAACCTAGCAGGGATTCCTTTTACAGATCTCTTCATTTTTATTATTCTTTTATGAGTCATCTTTTTTTGGATTTTTCTTAATTAAGGGCTTTGTCTGCCTTACGTTTCTAAGGCAGAGCAGTTCTGAGCTGAAACCTCTGTAATGCTGAACAGTCTCTCATCTTATCTATATGGTGGCCACTTAGGAACAGCCAAAAAAGAAGAAATGCATAATCAAAAGAGGGCCAAGATATAGTTTGCACACACTAACATATATATGGATGAACATTCGGAAATAGTTATTATAATGTAAATAGAAAGCCAATGCATCTTGCTTTAGTGTGGCAGAGACCAGAAGACCTGTGTGCCTTCCTGTTGAACTTCGTGGCCACGTGCTGAGGATGGGCAACGGTTGTCGTGGTTCTTTCTCTTCAAACTGGAATTGGACAGGTTGCCGTCAAGCAGAGGAAGATCTCCTTGCAGTCAACTAGAGGACTCCTCTTTTTAAAAAACCATGTGGATACTTTGTGGAGAGCCCGTGTGGTGTAGTGGTTAAGAGCATGGGACTGGGACTCAGAGGATCTGGGTTCTAGTCCCCGCTCAGCCATGGAGCCAACTGGGTGACTTTGGGCCGGTCACAGACTCTCAGCCCAACCTACCTCACAGGGTGGTTGTTGTGGGGATAAGATGGAGGAGGAGAATGATGTAAGCTGCCTTGAGCCCTTTGTAGGAAAAAGGCAGGATATAAATGGAAAAATACATACATACATACATACTTTGTGGGCTGGGGGGTTTCCACAAGGATGACACCAAGTGAGAGAACATCCCTGAAAAAGCAGTCCTCAGTCAATCACTGCTGACAGCAGCTGGGCACTCCATCTCCCTGCCCCAAGCCAGTTCCCTGGCACCAGGGATGAGCTGCAGGATCACCAGATTGCCACTGGAGTGCTACACCGCCTCCCTGGTGGCTGCTCCCTTCCCATCCACTTCTCGTCTGCGGAAGAGAACGTCAAAAACAAGCATCTCCTTTTACAATATGCAGGCCAGTGGGCAGGCAGGTTTAATTCTCTCTAGGAGTTGGCTCAAGAAGCACCCCCTAACGTGTGTGTGGGGTCCTTCAGGGAGGGAAGGCTTAGATCCCTTCACTGGAGCACAATATTCTTCAGCCACTGTGGCTTCCATCTTGCCTGAATTAAGCTCTTGCTTCTCCCAGAAAAGCAGCCAAGCTGGATGGGACCCTGCAGGCATGTTAGGCCACACCACCTATCATCCCCAGGCAGCATGGCACCAAGCTACTTCCCAAATCCTAACTAAATAAATCATATGCAATGGGACTTCACAGTATACTAGTCAGATTTTACTCCAAATGTCTCGATGGCAATTAAAAACCAGTACCTTAGGTGCGTAACACATGAAAAAGAATGTCTTGGTTTGTACTATTTTATCCTCAACACATTGGAATGTCTTATTTCTTATCAAGTCCTCCTTCATTTTACTGAGTCTAGAACAGAAGCTTAAAGTACTACAAGATTTTTGTTTTAATTACAGAACTGTTAAAGATGAAAAATATTCACAGTTGTTATTGTTTCTTGCAATGCATCGTGAAACATTTAAACAAGGGGATGCTCAAAGTGAGAGATGATCACACTTTGTGGGTATGGATTCTGAATACAAAAGCGGTGAAACTGAAAATGCAGCAAGATGATGGAAACTGGTGATTGCAAAGAAGGCAGCTGCTGGATCAGAGCCATGGCACAGGAGGTGGAGCCTTTCATGCACTGAGGTTTTTAAAATCTGAACTGTCCCTTCCTGGAGGGGTATTGCAAACCATGCAGGTCCCGAGATGCTAGGACTGCAGCTGCATTTACCCTTAAAAATCAGATGCATGCACAACTACTGCCGAAGATGTTTGATCAAGACTCTGTGATGCAAATCTGAAAACTTCAGGCCAGGTCTTCTTGGATCTTTCTGCTGCCAAACTTGGTGAACAAATATAGGAGTCCATTCCAAGATGCTCTCAATTGTTAGAGACAAATGAGGGAAAGAAATAGCTGGTCCTATTGGGCTGGCCCTATTGCAGTTATGGGACACTCGTCCTCAAAAGAGCAGGGAGCTGTCTCGTTAATGCAAAATTGTAACCATTCCAGTGCTGCAGAAATGCTGATTACAATTATTCCAGAATCCCTTACAGTGGGACAGGGATGGGAAAGAGAGTCTCTTCGCGTGTGGGCAGAAGTGGCTGCAGCTCATGCAGTGAAGCTCCAACATGCTACTGACTTCTCTCTCATATTCCATGTGCCTTTATCCCCCTGCACACGTGTGTGTGTGCACACCTGCAGGCACACACCTTCTAGATCTGGTTGTAGCCAAGCTGTACTCTGAGCGGCTTTCACAGTATTTGCTCTACAATTGACGCGTTTAATTTACTCAATTATTACAGAACACTCAGATAACGTTACTATCAAACTATTGCTTTCAACCACTTTCCCTGGTATTCTCTCATCTCTTTGAAGATCTGGCAATTGTTCTGACAGGATACAGTAACTCTGTGGCATTCCTTTAGAAAGCAAAGCATACACTCCCACCTTTGTACATAAGCCATTATTTTTTCTACTTCTCCTGAAACTTCAAAGGCAGTGTCACATTCTAATGCATAAACAGCACTCCTTTGCCAGTCTAGTTAACTGGAGTTCTCATTAAGATTCCAGCTGCATTTCTGTTACCAAGCTGAACCTTGCTGTGCAACATAATCTTCAAACTCGGCCGTAATCATTGGTGCGTCTTCAGATTTTATGCCTTGAGATACAGTTCATTATTCTGGGCTTGCCATGATGCTTGGCTTTGATTCTAGAGCTGCTGACATGTCAGTTTCATTTCTCAGCCTCTGTATTTCCACGCTTAAATCCAACAGAGTTTTGGCAAGCTTGCGGTTCTGGGATTTCATTTCCAACTATAAAGAAACAAAAGACAATGACTGTTTTTAACAGACGATTACCATCCAGAAAGGCTCAATTAGCACAAGAGATCAACTTAGCATACTTTCAGTGCTGCAGAGTTGTCCTGGAATGCACATGGTAAGAAAAAATAAAAGTGATTCTGAGCAAGTGCAGAGTTATTTCCCTTGTCATTGCTTAACAAAAACCTGATGCCAATGCTTAAACCGTACGCACAAAACGTGTACGTGTGTTTGTTCTGCTGAACATTGCATGAATCTTTCACAGGTACAATGCCATGATCCAGGAGCCCTGCTTTTCTGATTCCATAGCAAGAGCTGTGCAGGGAGTTGTACATATGAGTATGTGTCCTGCAGACATTCGAGGCAATGCAGATATGGCAGGGCTGCTGAAAGTCTTTGCAGCCCAAGGGCTCTATTCCATTTCAGAGAAGATCACAAAAGGCATGTGGGCAGGCCAGAAAAAAGACCCCAAAGACCAGCATATTCTATCTTAAAGCTCTTACTGCAAGTCGTTAAGCCTTAGGAGAGGCATTTCGACTTTTTGGAATGAGGATAACCCTTGCACAAAAGTCCATCAAATGACTGGTGGTTGGGGGAAAGGAAGCTGGACAGGGGACCGAGGTGTGGCTGTCTGTGGAAGCTCAGAGCGCCTGGCTTCCATAGCCCTGATGAGAAAGAGCAGACTTGCAACAGCAATCAAGGAGCAGAGGGAGGGCAACAGGCGGATTCCCAGGGAGATCTGAGGCTGCTGTATCTTTTTAGACCTGACATATTTCATCTGCGGCCCCCCGAGGAAGAAAGCCCTTGGAGGAATGTGTGGGTTCTTTCCAACTCCAAGGGTTTTTTCTCTCCTGCTCCTGCTTTCCCTTTTGCTGTTTCCAGGAGGTGGGTGAATCAACCACCATAGGTCACTTTTATTTTGCTTTCGGTGATGTGTTTCTATTGCCACACCCTAAACACACACATACAAAAAAGCGGGGAGGACAAGGAATCCTTTAGCCGGCGATTGATCTATCATCTACAAAATAAATAATACAAGAAGGCAAAAGTAGATGATGCTTTGGATAATCATTCGATTAGAAAAATAGGCAGTTGAGGAAGAATTTGCACAGATACAACAGGTTTGGGGGTCTGGTATCTATATGTCATGTGGAACTTGGGATTAAATGGAGGCTGACCACAGTGGCACAGCAGCAGTAACCTCCAGACTGGATTACTGCAAGGTGCTTGTTGTGGGGCTGCCCTTAACGCTTGATCTGGAAGCTGTGCACAATGCAGGAGCTCAGCCGTTGCTGGGAGCTGCCCTTTTCTCAGCATGCAACTCCTTTGCTGCACTGGCTGCGTATTTGCTTCCAGATCTTGTTTAAGGTTAGGGGACTAGCACAAAAAGCCCTAAATGACTCGGGACCAAGGTACACCTCCGTCATTACCAACCTGCCCAGTCACTGACGTTATTGGATAGCATGTTCCTAGTTGTTCCACACAGACTATTCCAAGATGGCTTCTTTGTCTGACCAGCCATGAGTTTTCACTGATATTCTGTTTTAAGATAGGGTGTGAGAGGTTGTGCATGAGGGAAAAGTTGGCTATCTTCCCTAGTCCATCAGAAAGTAATTTCAGCACAGAGACCGGAGCCACAGAGGAGAAAAGATATCCTTTAAAACCTGACCAGAGCCAGGAGGTAGAAGGAGGAAGAGGCAGTGAGAAATCTGGTGTTTGGAACTGTTTCTCAGACAGGCAAATGTTTGGGGGAAAACTAGAGCACTAGATCCTGTTTAATCTTTTCATTAATGACATGGAAGAAGGGGTGAACAGTCTGCTGATCAAATTTGCAGACGACACTAAAACTGGAGCAGTGGCCACAACTGAGCAGCAGGTACTCCAGATCCTTTTGGATCTGGACAGACTATGGAAGCAGGCAGGAGACAACAGGATGGCGTTCAATGTGGATAAGTGCAAGGTCTTGCACTTGGGGCATAGGAATAGGTGTCATAAGTACAGGTTAGGTGATAAGTGGCTGGAGAGCAGCACTTGTGAAAGGGACCTCGGGGTGCTGGTTGACTGCAGGCTAAACATGAGTCAGCAGTGTGATGCGGTGGTCAAGAGGGAAAACGCCACCCTTGGTTGCATAGCCAGAAGTGTGGCTTCTAAATCGAGGTATTACTACCACTCTATACGACTCTGGTGCGCCCGCAACTGGAGTATTGTGCTCAGTTTTGGGCCCCTCATTACAGAAAGGATATAGTCAGGTTAGAGTCAGTACAGCAGTTGGTGGCCGGTTTGCAGGGGATGGGGTATGAGGCGAGACTGAGGGAACTGGGTCTCTTCAGCCTGGAGAAGAGGAGACTCAGAGGGAATATGTTGGCGACATACAGGTATATGAGGGGATGTCACACGGAGGTGGGTAGAGACCAGTTCTCCCCTGCAGAGGAAGGCAGGATACACTCCAATGGAGCAAAGCTCAGTGAACCAAGGTTCCATTTGGATGCCAGGAAGCACTTCCTGACAGTTAGGACCCCGAGGGTGTGGAAAGAGTTTCCACAGGAGGTTGTTGAGGCCCCATGGGTGCGGGTGTTCAAAGATAGGCTGGACATGCGCATGGTGGGCATGTCGTGAGTGGAGCTGGCTGGTGCTGGAGGACAGACTAGATGGCCTGGGAAGCCCCTTCTGACTCGCTCTGTTTTTATGTTTCTATGTTTCTAGAGCAACACTAAGGAATGAGACAAGCATCAGCCTGTCTATGGTGAGAGAGTGATCCTTTTTTTAAGGGCAAGCTGGAAAAATATTTAGCTTTCACACAGAGCAGAGAGGACAGATAACTTTTTAGAAGACTTGGCAGGATGCACTTATTACATTGGGTTCTATTGTTTCAAAACTCTTCTTGTTCCCTTGTTCTGGCCACTGCGGTAAATGAATTCTTATAAAATTAAGTGGAAACCCATGTATCTGCAAAGACCTCTGTTCACGCTCTACAGCCACCTTTGTCAATGGGGTGGTCTGGCGATGTGTCGGACTGCAAGGTGGCCCTTCATAGCTTTGTTTTGTCCTCCATGACTGGTCTAAAGAAGTCACCTCTCATATGGCTGCTTCACTCAGGATCTTTCTCCTGAATGATGAATAGCAGGACTGGAACCAAGGGTAAGTATGATCAGGCACCTGCCAAGAGCCCCCACCCCAGCAGGGAACCAATGGCAAGTGCCTGAGGTGCTTCTCCTCTTCCCTGCTTGTTTATCCACCTCTTCTTCTGGCCCAGCCCAGAGTGGAAATGAGAAGGAAGGACAGCGGGATTTCTGGCATTTTTAAATCACGCAGTCCTCATCTCATTCACAGAATTTTATCAGGGGCCAGGGTGGTCTGCGATGCCCATACATGGTTTTTTCCTACTGTAACTCTCCCAGATTCTTCCACTGCCTCCTTAGTCCTTTTCCATTTCACACAGACACTGAATCCGTTAAGGAGGAAAAGATGGAATAATTGCACAATTTCTTTTGACCAATAGTATTAGGAGTCCTCTGCCTGGAAGCACCTTTACCTGCAAAGCAGGTGTTGTGGCATGCATGCTCTCTGATGAGATGCTTTCTTCTTTGGTGTTTTCTTCCCTATGAAACGCAAGTGGAGTTGTATGAATCTGATAAGTAATTCCAATGCAGGGCTCTCCCACAGGCGCTTTTTTTTTTAATTAAATGGTGCCATCACGTTGTCTCCCAGTTTACATGAGGCTCCAGACAGTGTCCCCTTCTATTCCTTACCTTCCCATGTTACTTTGCTTCTTCCATCTTTTTTTTAAATGCAGACTATCAAATTACGGAGGAAGATGGAACAGCTGTACAATGAGTTCTAATTCTGGAATGAACCAGAATAAAACTTAAGGAGTACATATTAATATTTGTCTTCATTCAGATGGTTCAAACTGTCCAGAAAAATTTGGCTGTGCTGTATAGAAGTATAATTAATCCTCATTGTAACAGATCCCATTTCTAAACATATACTATTTAAAAATGCTTCAAATAAATTAATGCTTTGATTAAAACTGGATAGAAGGTATACATAGTATCTCTTTGTTAAGTCTAATCTAGGGATCTTGTCAAAGGAGATAAGGATAAAGTTTGCCTTAATTAACCTGCAAGGAAATGAGATTCTTGGAAAGAGCAAACCATGCCTCTGCTCTGATCTACTAGCTCCTTCCCTCCACATCTATGTCCACCTTTACTGTAAACAGACCAGGTTCAGGGGGATTAGCTGTTAGTCACCATGGCAACCATAGTAACAAAAGAGAGTTTGTACCTGCTATTTTTAAACTGACCTGACTCACAGGGCAGGGTTAATAGAAGTTGCCACCTTGTGGCTACCAGTGGGGTTTTCTATTAGTCTCTGAGGTTAGGTTAAATACCATTTAATACTTTTATACTTTGCAATATCTGTGATGCAGTCCTGTGCAATCTTTTCCCACAACATCCCACAACTTTTAGCATTCTCCAGTTGGCCATGCTGGGAATTCTTGGACTTTTTCCCTGACTAAGCATGATTTGAACTTCACCCTTATATGAGTTCACTTTAGCAAAACATGACTTTTAAAGCCCTCAGAATTGCTGGCAAACCTAATGCCTTGCCTGGGAATAGAATAATTCACAGGGTCTCTTGGAAATATATTACATAGTACAAGCTGTCAGGTGGAAAGAATGTTCCACATTCATATAACACAGGAACTTACGACACCTTAAAGATCAACATATGTATCATGTCACATACTTTTATGAATCACAATAATACTTGAAAACATGTACCATAATAATGCTAAAAGTCTTCACTGATTTTGCTGCAACAGTCCGTGGAGAGCAGCCAGGTGCCTTCCAAATACTTTGGACTGCAACTTCCCAAATTCCTGACCATGAGCTCTGATGGCTTGGGTTTCTGGGAATTGTAGTCCAAAACGTGTGGAGGGCACAAGCAGCCTAGCCTCAATTATACAACCAAGAGTGTAATCCCATGCAAGCTGGGTGTTGTAGGCCCTTATCCTGCCTACATGTGCATAATGACAATTATGCCTTGTGTATTCATATACAATCATGTTACCACTGGTAGTACCAAGTATTTATATCGCAGATTTCAGTTATTACACTATATATCCCACATGTTTCCTCTTGCATTTTCCCCATGGTGGCTTACATAGCCCTCTTCCACTCTACTTTATTTCCCTGTGATAGGTGAGGCTGAGAGTGAGTGGCTGGCCAGAGGCCACCGAGTGAGCTTCATGGCTGAGGGGGGGCTGGAACCCGGATCTTCCAGCTCCTCAGTCCAACATTCTAACCAATATGCCACACTGGTTCTCAAGGATTCAAATCACTTTTCTTATATCCATCATTACAACAGTCCCAGAAGGTAGCCCAGTATGATTGTCTCAACTTAGGAAGAGTGTGTGTGTGTGTGTGTTGTGGAGGGTGCAGAGAAACAACTGGCTTACTTAAACTTAAGGCTGCCTAGTATGCTTAAGGGCTGAAGTGAGATTTTAGCTGGCGTATCCCACCTTAAGGCTCACACTCAGTTGTTAAGCTACATACACTGTGTTGTAAAACCAAAGCCACATGAATAAGCAAGTCCACTCCCTGGGTCACCGACTGCTAATCATGGTAGTCCCTTGACCTGATGAATCACAGAACTATCCATTTTAGGATTTGGCACCTCCTCTCCCTGAACAGTTTCCATCGCTGCTGTTTCATTCAGTATAAGAATTTTAAGAGTTTTGTTTTTTTCTCTTCCCTGCACATCCAGTTTTCCTTTTGTGTCACTTAGAGTGTGAGCCTGAGGACAGGGCCCTTAGGCAAACCACTGTGACAGCCTTACAACTGAAGAGCTAGATACAACACTAAAGGGAATATGAACCTGGCCCCATCTGTTAACCAGCCAGTCCGTTGTGGTTCTTATTATCTCTTCCTTTTTGCATCACAGCTATTAGAATCAGATTGTGAGTCTGCACTGCAAGGACTACTTTACTTTTGGATACCTGAACATCACTTTAAAAATGTATAAGCATGGTATAAATGTTTAATAAAACAAGTAGCAGTATACTATAAATTCTAAACATTCAAACTAAAATTTTAGACCAACGTTAAAATGAATAAAAATACATTTGATGCCTCTCAAACTCCAGCCCACCATTTCATGTCTGAACCTAAAAAGAGATGGGCTAGAGAAGAGTCCATTCAGTCCAGCATCTCTTTGGACACTGGCCAACCAGCTGCCCAGACGAAAGCCGCAAGCAGAACTGGAGTACAACAGCACCCTCCTACCCATGTTCCCCAGCAACAGGCACACTGCTTCTGGTATCCGTTCTTCATTTATTTCAATTTTATCTCACCCAAGAGCCAAGGCTTTCTGGGTCGTCAGCAAAAGTTAAAATTAAATAAATGTTAAAAGGACATTCCTCGTTTTTAAAATTAGCAACCATAGATAGGCTTCTTCTGCAGAGTTCTGTAACCCTCCCTTTTAACCACCAAAACTGGTGGCCACGCCTTGTGACCTCAAATTCTGTATTTTCACTGCTGTGTGAAGCAGCTCCTCCTCCTATCTATCCTACATCTCTCCCTATTCAGCTTGATGGGATGCATCTGGTCCTATGCAAGAGGGAGAAAAATGGCTCCTTCTGTACTTTCTGCACATCATGAAGAATTCTGTACACTTCTAGCATGTCTTCTTACTCTCCCTTTTTTAAGCGAAACAATCCCAGATGGTGTAACCTTCTCTTATAGGTGATTTGTGTCTGCTTCCGAATCATTTTAATTGCCCTTTTCCGCACTTTTTCTAACCCTACAGTATCCCTCCTTCAAATGCGGTGACCAGACATTTGGGTACCAAAACTGCTGTACCCGATACTCTAAGTGAATGCACGCCTTAGATTTGTATAAGCGAAGTACAATCTTGGCAGTTTTAAGTTTCAGTCCCTTTCCTAACTATGCCAACCATGAGATTTGCTTTGTCCGCAGCAGCCGCTCACTGGGCCGACTTTTTCATTGCCCAGCACCACCCCAAGGTGTGGGGTCAGGCGCTGCTAGCTCACACCCCACCCGTGTATACCTGAAGGTGTTTTTTGGGGAGGGGGAGGGAGCGGTTTCTTCCAACGCGCATCGCTTTTGCACATGCTTAGGGGGAGCCATTGCCACGGCGACGCCCGTGTCCCCAGGTTGGAGAGAGCCCTCTGGCGCGCTTCGCTGCCCCTTGCGGCTCTATCCAAATAGCCCGGCATCTCCAGCAAACCCGGCCGCGTCGCTGCGCCCTCCCAACTGCAGACCGTTCGCGGACGGGACGGGACGGGACGCGAAGCCTCGCCGCGCGTCCTCTGCCCGGGCCCCGCCGCCGCCCTTCCTCCCCAGCCGAGCCCCTCCTCGGGGCGAGCGCACACCTGCCGGCCCCCCGCGCCCGCCCCACTCACCAGCTCCACCCGCAGCCACGCAATGGCTCCCTCCACGTGCGCGCGGCGCAGCTCGTCCTGCGCGGCCGCGGCGCGCCGCCCGCCCGCGCCCCTGCTCGCCACAGGTCTGGCCCGCCGGGGCGGGGAGGCGCGCCGCGCGCGTTGGAACGCCTGCCGCAGCCGCTGCTTGACGTCCTCCAGCAGCCGGCTGGAGAAGCCGTCCTCGCCGGGGCCCTCCTCGGCGCGCCTGCCTGCCTCCATCGGGCCTCTCCTCTGGCAAGGCCCCAGGAGGCAGAGGGCCGGGGAGGCGGCCGAGCACCGGGAGGAGGTCGCCGCCGGCCGGCCCTCCGGCGTCCTCCTCGTCTCCATGCCTTTTGTTTCCTCGCCCTGGGCGAACTGTGCTTCTCTTTTGCGGGAAATCTCCACCCCTCACCCATCCTCCTTTCCCAGCATATCGTGCCAAAGAAAGTGGGAGTGAAGAGGGAGGGTAGGAGAGGGACGCCCTGGGGAATTTGCCCCACCCTTGCCCCATCCCATCTTGCCCTCTCTGGTCTCTTCCCAGCGCCAGTGCTGTGCGCAACGGGGATGCACCAGCCAGGAAACGGGATACCCAGGAGGAAGGATACCACTGATAGCATCATCACCACCACCATCATCATTATGCTAAATCTTGCTTTTCTCCTGGCAGTGATTTAAGCTCTCCGGGCAGTTTGGAGCAGCATAATCCCTGCAGCACCCTGTACAGCAATGCATCGACCAAAATCCATTTGAGGGCAAGGAGAGAATTCTGCAGGGTAGGCAGAACAGACGATCTGAAAGGAAGCCTCAGTGCTCAACAGCCTGGTCTTTGGAGGCCTCTGGAAAGAGGATGCTCCTTGCTGACTTTCGAGAAGTGAAGGTCTGGCAAGCCTGTGGACTCTCTTCTCTTCCGCTAAAGGAGTGGTCCGTCCACCCCGCTGCCCATTTGCACTTGCTGAAATAAGGGCCTGCTCTGATCTATCTCTGCTGAGTCACAGTTAGACCCCCCTGGAGGAGCTGGCTTTTGGCCCCCTCCTGCTCCTTCCCTTGAATATTTTTCCCTGAAGTTTTCTCTGAAATCAAGTGCCCTCCTCTCCCCTGCCCTTAGGACAAATAGAGTGTCTTAGAGGGGACACACACACACACACACACACACACACACACACACACACACCCCACACCCTATGTAAATTAGCATATGCAAATCTGCTTTTGGGTGGGGGTCCTTTGGGGCTGAAGCTTTTTGGAACCTGGTGCTACCACTCCAATGAAGAGCTTTCATAAAATGTAAATGCTTAATTTCTAAGGAAGTGGTGAAAGTATTAATAGCTAACTCATATTCTATGCCATTTCTTATAGAAGCCTAATTCTACATTGTGGGGGGGATTTACTTCAGGTGTGTATGTGTGAAAGAGAGAGAGACACACAGAGTTTGCATGCATGCACTTTGCATGTGCCCAAGAATCTTCTCTTGCTTCTCCTGTTGCTTGAAAGTGTTGGAGCCTTGCTTTACATTAAGTCAATAGGATTTCACAAAGCAGTACTGAAGAAAAAAGTTAGTTCTGGTGGGTTCCAAGGATCTGATGGCATGCTTTCAAAGAACTTTCCAAAGATAAATTCCAAAAACTGTGTGTCAGATATGTGCCCTTCTTGTTTAGAGAGGCATTGCCTCACTTTTGGCTATGGATAAATTGCAAAAGCTCAAAGATAATACATTTATTTTAAGGATGTCCTGTATCTTGACATTCTGTAGTAGAGTGGAGCTATTATTCCAGTAAGTATAGCCACTACTTAAAATGCAGTGGTTGGGGAATGTAGCTAAAGCTTCATCACATGCCAAACCCTTTCCTGATCTATGCAATTCACATACCTAATACCCTATCAATTTGACTCTGAGACTTGATTCACTTTTTGTTAACAAAAATAAATAGAGGTTGCGTATAGAGTGTGGACTTTTAAGCTAGCTCCATTATGCAGAATCCTAAGTAGTAGAGTGGAATTCTCACTCCACCTGTGCCATGAGGCTGACTTTCTTTTCTTTTTTCCAGCCCCTGCAATCTGCAAATCACAAAGCCACAAAAGAAACTATAGTAACTTGTCACACATTTGTCCTTTTTCATGGGGCACCCCAGCTAGTTTGGAGCTAATAAAAAAGCTGACAAGTACACAAATGCAATTATGATGCAAAACACCAAGGACAGCATGAACAGCCAGATCTTTTTAAAGGAAGAATTTAGTCCTCTTTGTTGTGGAAATGAAGTGGTGATAATGTTCCCAGAATAAGGAATGGCACAAACTGTAGGAGCCCTTCTCAAATTCTTTATCAATGTCAGCAGATTTTTCTCTGCATCTTGCAATAGGGTGGTGGGATTTGGTTGGCAATGGAAGGAATGTTGAACTGTGGGTGAATGGGTAGTTTCTGGTGACTAGCTCTCAGAAACAAGACTGTAAAATACAAAAGGCAAACATTTGATTGGACTTTCTACAATAACATTCGTCCCTTATACCGAGCAAGTTATGCATGGGACACTTCATTTTGTTTTGTTTTGAGGTGGATATATATTACTGTAAAAACAATGCAAAGAAGTGCAAGTTGAGTCCCATACATGTGAATGAACACACAAGTTAAGAATAGGAGCCGTGGATGATGGATTAGGATCCATTTAAACTCCAGCAGCAGCTAACCAGTTCTAGGATGCTAGTGGCCACTTATTCATGGCCAAAAATGAGACAGAGTCTCTCCAGAGAAGATGTGCACACACTTGACACATGCTAATGGAAAACTCTAGATGTGAATGTAGCAAGAATTACTACTCTACCTGCATCTTACTATTATGTGGAAGACAGTGGTGAGGTGACTTTCATGCCTGTACAGCCCAGGTGCTGCACGTAGTTGGGAATTCTTTATTTTTGAACCGGACTTGGGCCTTACAACCCTTCAAACAGAGGATGCATAGCTGGCATCTCTCTATCAATCATCTGTCTGGCTAATCTTGTAAGTAGATTAGAACCATCTCTTTACCTAGGACTTCCACGATCATTTGTGATGCCTAGTTTGCTTGCGAATTCTGACATTAGAAGAATTTGGTTGTAATGCTTTTATACATTTTAAGCATTATTATTGCATTGCATTTATATCTCACCTTTTTTCCTCTTCTGAAGAACCCAAAGTAAATTACATAGTTCCATTTCATCCTCACAGCAACAACCTTGTGAGGTAGGCTAGGGTGAGAGTGAGCCACTGGCTGAAATTCACCCAGTGACTCAGTAGGAACCAGGACCTAGATCTGTCAGATCCCCAGTCTAACACTTTAATCACCATATCACCTCACACTGGCTCTTTTAGTAACCCGACCTAGTTTAGTTGGAAGAAAAGACTTATAATTCCCAGCACACCATGGCTTGGGAATGCTGGAGGAGAAAGCAAGCAGGACTATTTTCCTGTGCAAACATGCATAGCATTGTACCCTTATTGTCGTACAACACCCAGAGAGCTTCAGCTATAGGTAGTGCATTTTGTAAACTGCTTAAGATACATTTTTAAAATATAGTAAGTGGCATATAAAGTGACAGAGCACCTGGAGGAAGTCTTCTCTGCGGTGGCGCCCCGACTATGGAATGCGCTCCCCAGAGAGGTCTGCCTGGCGCCGTCATTATATGTTAAGACCTTTCTATTTAATCAATATTTCAATAAGTTTTAACATCGGATTTTATTATTGGATTTTATTAATTGCAGCCAGAGTGGGTCATCAATTTATTTATGCTGTTAGGTGTCCAGAGACGTTAGTAATTGGATAGCATACAAATTTTCTAAATAAATAAATAAAAAAAAATCGATTCAACAATGACAACAGCAGTATTGTCAATGGAACAGGCCAATGCATGTGTGTATCTGTATACTGAGATATTTATGGTCACTGAATGTGGAAACTGCAGTTAGAATACATGCAGCAGAAGGGAGACATATTTAATTATTCTTGTTAACTGCTTTTGTTGTATGTAGTTACTGAATTCCTGGTGAGAGCTCCATAGATCATTGTCAAAGCTAAGCTAGAGACAGCCTTCCAAGTGGAGCCAGAAACCAGGAGCCAGGGATTTTCCAAGTCTGTGGGTTGTGGGTGGGGTGGGTGGGGGACTGTTCAGAGTCAGCCCAAGGATCAAACTAGTGTGATGCTGAACCATTGGTGCCAGTGAGAACCAGTGTGGTGTAGAGGTTTAGAGTGCTGGACTGCGACTCAGGAGATGGGCATTCTGGTCTCCACTCTGGAGCTCACTGAGTGCCTTTGGGCCAGTCATGGACTCTCAGCCCAACCTTCATCACTGGATTGATGTTGTGAAGGTAAATTGGAGAGCAGGATAACCTTGTGAGCTGCCTTGAGTTAGTCATGCTACCTGTCTGTCCAACACTCAGCTCACTTTCTCATATTAGCAAGGTGAAGTGTTTGCAAGAAGAGGAGGAGGAGGATGAAGATGAAGACAAAGACGAGGAAGTTGTTAGATGTGGAGATCCAGCAAAGAGAGCTATGCATATTGCAGCTTTTGTGTACAGAAACCCCCAGTCTAGGAGGGGTTTGTGCATGAAATCCTTTCTGAATACAAATCATCCCGCACAGATCTGGTATACATGGGGAAAGAACTGGATTCATGCTGGTGTGAGTAAGAAGAGCTCAAGCAGTCTTACGGACAGTACAACAGATGCAGCCCAGGCATTGCTGCTAGAGGTTGCAATGGATGGAGGCATATCCCACTCACTACACACAGGACCCCAGGCATGTATGTGGACATCGTGGCTTATAGCCTTTTTTTTTTAAGGGGGGGGGGGGGGACTTGCCAGCCTAGCAAGTGTGGAAGAAGGAGAGAAAAGCAGTTCCCCATTTTTTGCTACGTCAATGTAAGCAGCTGCCGTGACAAAGAACACAAAGTAATATCCTCAGGTGCTATGTATCAGCAAAGCCAGCGAGGATCTAGTCTCTCAAATCAGGTGCCTTGTTGATTAAACTGAGAGACTGCACTTGACCTTGCTTCCAGGAGGAAAGATAATGAATGAATGGATGGAAGGGTGCCAGCCATGGAGAGTGAATAGGGATTCTAGACAAAATACCACCAACTGAGTCCAAGCTATGGGACAGTCAGGCCTTTAAGACTGCCCTGAAAATATAAGAGGAATTTATTCAGACTGATTATTGATTGCATTTGCTATCTGGTACGAAGACAAAATGAAGATGGAGCCATGGCAAAGGTATTTCAGTGATTTCCCTCATTGCTGTGGAAAGGGCCATGCTTATGCCAGGACCAACCTTATCCAAACACTAGGACACAAAGTTAAACTAATCCTAATTGAAGAGTTGACA